CCAACTAACTATCTATAACATCCATCCTACTTCCTTCCTTCCAACTAACCATCAAACTATAGCATCCATCCTACTTCCTTCCTTCCAACTAACTATCTATAACATCCATCCTACTTCCTTCCTTCCAACTAACCATCAAACTATAGCATCCATCCTACTTCCTTCCTTCCAACTAACCATCAAACTATAGCATCCATCCTACTTCCTTGTTAGTCTATCTATATAAAGAACTAATATGTTATTATGTATATAATATTGACTGCCATTCATAAAAACAACAAAATACATAAACTTCCAGTAATACAATCGTTTCTTTTCGAGAAGTCTACTTCCTCCCCCCACCCGTTTATATGTAGCAGTTACCAGTCTTAAATCCCTTTGTAACGTAATCTCCTTTTGTAAAGGTGGCGCATGCGTAAGTATTTGTGAATCAGTATAATCATCCTACCTATCAAAAAAAAAAGAACTATTATTTCTTGTTTCTTATTGGAAAGTTATATCTGCTTGTATGTAGTATGGTAAGTCACAATGAAATACATTAAGGGATCAAAAACTAAATTCGCGTGTGTTTTTCTTTTAGCAAAGCCACATCGGGCTAGCTGTTGTGTCCACCTAGGGGCATCGAACCCCTGCATTTAGCGTTGTCAATCACTAGACTTACCGCTGTCCCTGGGGGACAATTAAATTCGTTGACCGGAAAGTATTTTTAGTTTATTTTATGATTCGAAATGTAATACTTTCCAATTACTGAAAAAAAAATGTCTCTGTCATCCGGACTATAAGATAATAAAGCTGTTTAGTTAATGAAACAGCAGACGTAAATAAATAAACAAGAAATTTTAAATCTAGGCTAAGCCTTTTTTTTCTTCATTTTTCTTTCTTTATGTTCCAAGGTGTTTCATTGAATGTATATATATATATATAGTTATTTAAATTATCAGGCCAATATATAGGAAGTCAATAAGTTAACTAAAAATCATTTCGTATAGGTATAAATACAGGTTATTCGTTACAAATACTTTGTTTCTTTTTTTAACCAAATTCCTTTAATTTCAGGTCATTTCACACAGGTGGTGTGGCGCTCTAGTACCGAAATGGGCGTGGCCCACGCTCGAAGTAAGACTAATAAGATCATTGTCGTCGCAAACTACAACCCAGCCGGAAACTTGGTTGGAAGTTTTACTTCAAATGTTCCTGCTCCTAAATAATTAACCCTTGAAGTTTCCGGTTGACGTTTCACCACCAATACCATCTTTAAAGTTGTTGTTGTTGTTGTTGTTATTAAGTGATTAAATAGCAGTTAATATCTGTATATCCCTGTTGTCGTGGTGCTTCAACGTGATAGCAGTAATACCAGTTTGAATATAATGAATAAGCGATTGATGTTTACATTCCTTTATTACTCTTTCCATGATGCTTACACCTTAAAAAGGCCTCAAAATTAATATTTTATTACAACCTTTACCATAGTACTGAAGTTTGTATTTTGTTTCCGTCATCTGTATCATCACTACAAGCAGCGCTATCTGGTATCACTCAACATCCGAAAAAGGGTTTGATGCTATTCACTTGTCCAGCTAAACCTAGCCCTCACGTTTTCATCATATCTCGGGAAGGGGGGAGAGTGAATTATGAAAATATAACGTACGGACAACAAGTGCCCAACTGGAATTTCAAGGCTACCCTTGTACACTCTCCCCCAAGAAAAACCATCAGTTCTACTCTTAAGCTCTCGTAAAATGTGAGTTTCTACTGCTGTTAACGGCAACTCATTCCATAAGTTAACTACCCTGTTAGAAAAAATAAGTATGTCTTAACTGGAGTCTAGCCTGTCACTTCCAGGTGTTAAACTTGTGTCCTCACATTCCGATAGTTCTCTAAACCTTCTATACTACCTGTCTCTTCCAGGTGTTAACCTTGTGTCCTCACTTTCTGATAGTTCTCTAAACCTTCTATACTACCTCTCTCTTCCAGGTGTTAACCTTGTGTCCTCACTTTCTGATAGTTCTCTAAACCTTCTATACTACCTGTCTCTTCCAGGTGTTAACCTTGTGTCCTCACTTTCTGATAGTTCTCTAAACCTTCTATACTACCTGTCTCTTCCAGGTGTTAACCTTGTGTCCTCACTTTCTGATAGTTCTCTAAACCTTCTATACTACCTGTCACTTCCAGGTGTTAAACTTGTGTCCTCACATTCCGATAGTTCTCTAAACCTTCTATATTACCTGTCGCTTTGAGCATCTGAATTGTAGAGTCTAGACCTAACTCCCTGATTTATTGGTTTAGGTCCTAAGTAAATACAGACCTAACTCCCTGATTTATTGGTTTAGGTCCTAAGTAAATACAGACCTAACTTCCTGATTTATTGGTTTAGGTCCTAAGTAAATACAGACCTAACTTCCTGATTTATTGGTTTAGGTCCTAAGTAAATACAGACCTAACTTCCTGATTTATTGGTTTAGGTCCTAAGTAAATACAGACCTAACTCCTGATTTATTGGTTTAGGTCCTAAGTAAATACAGACCTAACTTCCTGATTTATTGGTTTAGGTCCTAAGTAAGTTTAGACCTAACTCCCTGATTTATTGGTTTAGGTCCTAAGTAAGTCCAGACCTAACTCCCTGATTTATTGGTTTAGGTCCTAAGTAAGCCCAGACCTAACCCCTTGATTTATTGGTTTAGGTCCTAAGTAAGTCCAGACCTAACTCCCTGATTTATTGGTTTAGGTCCTAAGTAAGTCTAGGACTAACTCCCTGATTTATTGGTTTAGGTCCTAAATAAGTTCAGACCTAACCCCCTGATTTATTGGTTTAGGTCCTAACTAAGCCCAGACCTAACCCCTTGATTTATTGGTTTAGGTCCTAAGTAAGTCCAGACCTAACCCCTTGATTTATTGGTTTAGGTCCTAAGTAAGTTTAGACCTAACTCCCTGATTTATTGGTTTAGACCTAACTCCCATATTGGTTTAGTTTTGATCTCTCTTTCCTTTTCTTCTTTGTGAGAACATGCCTGTCTTGAATTAGAAACAATTTATTTCTGAAAAGTTCCCTACATCATCTTTTAAACTTATTATCTCAAATATCCCATTGTCTAGCTTTGTGCTAATAAAACAACATTATCTCAATTCACTAAAGGCCTCAAAATTGACTTTCTCGAAATTATGGTCTCCAATTTAGTTTCTTTTTATCTCAACATGTAGCAAAACGCCAAATTTAAACATGCAATAACCATTCTTTTCTAAATTGTCTCCCACTTCATCTTTTTGAAACTGTATCCTCATTAATGGTTAAAATAAATCTAAAATAACACCCCCCTGGTTGACTCTATCTCTAAAATAACATCCCCCCTGATTGACTCTATTTCTAAAGTAACATCCCCCCTGGTTGACTCTATCTCTAAAATAACATCCCCCTGGTTGACTTTATTTCTAAAATACCCCCCCCGGTTGACTCTATCTCTAAAATAACATACCCCCTGGTTGACTCTATCTCTAAAATAACATCCCCCCTGGTTGACTCTATCTCTAAAATAACATCCCCCCTGGTTGACTCTATCTCTAAAATAACACCCCCTGGTTGACTCTATCTCTAAAATAGCATCCCCCCTGGTTGACTCTATCTCTTAAAATAGTATCCCCTCGTTGATTCTTTCTAAAATAGCATCTTCCCTAGTTGGCTCTTTCTGAAATACCATCCATTCCTGGTTGACTCCCTCTGAAATAGCATCTCTCCTCCCCTGATTGACTCATTCTAGAATAACATCATCCTCAATCACTTAAGAAATCTCTCACAACTTGACTCCTTATAATTCCAGACTTACTATACATCCACCAACACGAGAGGGATTTATACTCAAATTATTACTGCTCGAATCACCCCACGTTATGCGTAAGAGTTGCGTTTGATAGGACGTCAAAGGTTTCGATAATAGTGATATTGGGAAATATTCGTATTTTTAAAAAATTAAAATAGTTTCATAATTACAACACTATTTTTAAACGCGTTCAACTAAATTAAATTTGAAAAAAATCTTCCTCGTGTGTTGAGCAAGGCTCAGAAGAACCACTTTCTTTGTTGTTATTTTTTTTCCGGATTTTAAAATAATTTACAATTAAAATAATATAAACAGTTTGTTCCTGTGGTATTAGTACTAATCGATAATCTTATAGCTACGTTATTACATGCGCTTTGGCTTAAATTACCTTTACTGTGTTCCTGGATGCTTGGTATAAAATATAACGCCTCTACTAGGAAATGGTGGTTTCTTCTAAATGGTAGTTATATATTTGTATATTTATATAAAGAAATGTAACTTTTAATTTCGTCTTCCGTCTTCGCACAAAACTTGTTAAAGGTAATATTGTAAGGAACTGCGACTTTCTACATTTTTTGAGCGTTATACGAAGTCGATTTAATATTTACTAGTCAATAATCTGTGACGTTCTTACGACAACTGATATTCCAGACATTTCCAGAACAGTTTCGTTGATGTTTGTACAATTCGCCGAATAAAAATAATGCTTTAAAACGTTGTTGTTCTTATTGTCCAATAGCCTCTTCCTTTCAATACTCAAAACTTTACAAACCAAGGTCTCTTTAATTACATAGGAGAAAGTAGAACGTTGGTCAGAGGCGTCGCTAGGTGCTTAAAAGATTCGGGGTTCAGGCCCATAGGCGCAGGAATTTTCGGCGTTTCAGTATAATATCGACCATGGTTTTCTATTCTGATTTTTCAAGACACCAACTGGAGATTCCGGACACTGTCAAATAGAATCGAGGCTCGAGCCCCGTGTGCCAGTGCCTAGCGATGCCTCTGACGTTCGTAATTTGGAAAATCCAGATTTAAGCAACCTTTATAAGTAATACTGGAAGGTAAATTAAAGCCTTTCTTACATGTAATTAAGCAAATAAACTTGGCTGAAACAGTGTCGTGTATAATACTGTTTTAGTGAACCTCGAGGCATTTGTCATTGTCAAAAATAACAAATAATCGCATATAGCCTCATTCCTTTTCTTGTATTCGAAAAAAACTTTATCAAAATCTACTCTCTATAATCCACGAGATTCACAAGAGTTGCAATGAATATTACTGATCCCCCTGAGTATCATATTATTTAACCCCCTGAGCATCATATTATTCAACCCACTAAGAATCATATTATTGATACCCCCTGAGTATCATATTATTTAACCCCCTGAGCATCATATTATTCAACCCACTAAGTATCATATTACTGATCCCCCTGAGTATCATATTATTTAACCCCCTGAGCATCATATTATTCAACCCACTAAGTATCATATTATTGATACCCCTGAGTATCATATTATTGATACCCCTGAGCATCATATTATTGATACCCCTGAGTATCATATTATTGATCTCCTGATTATCATATTATTGATCTGTTAATCAACACTATTATTCACAAGCTGGAATTCTACAACATTTAAATCTTACTTCAAAGAAAATCCTGAAACTTCTTGAACTGAGAAAATGTTATCTGGTTTCAAGATCCCATTAAGCAAAGCCTTTTTTAATTGGTTCAGTACATCTGTTGGTCATAAAGTCAGGCCGTTATCAGCAAACTGCTAAGTTATGTAGCTTATATATTAAAATCAAAACACTTCCCACATCAAATCAGGTGAATTGTCGGTATCAGGATAAGTTACGTAGTTTATGTTTTAACATAAAAACACCGATAGTCCAATGTTAATTAAACTTAATTTGATACGCACATAGTCTTATACGTTAAAACACAGGATGGTCAGTCATATTGAAAGCACTTTTATAAATCAGACAGGGAAAACTGTTTAACACATTGTATATAAAAATTCCCTCTATAAACTCTCGTACTTTTATCATCTATATATATAATAAAAGCTACTTTCTGTTCGTAACGCTCCCTCTGTCGGTAACGCTTGACTCTCTGTTGGTAATATTCAAATTGGCTCAGCGAAGTCTCAAGTACAAATTCCGGGATTTTTTAATAACTTTTTTAATCATTAACTTATCATGTTTAGTCTAATATATTACAATATTAGGAAAAAACATAATAACATGATACAGTTACGACAGCGGAAAGTCACGTGACGCTAGTAACACGTCATGAGATTCTAGAAAGATTATGTCCGTTCGTGAAGCCTCGAGTGTTCTCCAGACGCCCTCTATTTCGTATATATAAGACCAGCGAGAAGTGACGGTATAGATATGAATAATTGCAGATTGAAGAGATAGAGACGGACAATTGAGTCAAGCGCCT